AAAAAAAAAAAACTAATCGGATAATACTTTTTCAGAAGTCGTCCTATATCAATGCCATTTTGAATACACCGACCATATGTACAGGACGTTCTCCACAGCAGAGGTTATACGACTCTCCTATGGCAAATGGGTCGACGCCATATAGGCCGGTACAGAAGCCTGCTGTACGGGTGAAGGTCGAGATTTTATGAATGCCATAATACTATCTTAATTACTTTGAAAATACTTGATTTAAAGAATTAGATTCACATAAGGATTTTTTCAGCCGAATGTTGGATATGAGGCGGGTAGTTATGACAAGGAGAATTATAGAAACGGTGCTGCAAGTGTACGTGTTCGTGGACCGGTAAAAATTATTGGTTGGTTTTCGATTTACTTCAATTTTTTATTTCTTTTTTGGCTCTGTTTTATATAAAAATGTATATATTTGTTATTTTGTGTCAACGTCGTCATGTTTTTGTTATTTTTTGTTATGGTCAATCAATTGTTTATTAGGTGGTTTGATTGAAATTTAGAGTGATTATCCAATGCACTCTATTATGCCAATGTTGTTGCTTGCTTTTTTTATTTTACTTTGAAGATGAACGTGGTACACGGCCTAGAAGTATATATACGACCCCGCAAAGACCTGCTCTAAAAGGCCTCTTCAGCCCAGTTGGATCCCGACAAAGGTTCGTTATTTTTTAGACGTTACTGGTTGAATAATTTTTTTATTTGGCAACAATTTCTGATTGCTAGAATATTCAGGGCTCGTTCAACGGAACGAAGTGGCGCCGAATCGCCGGCATATTCTGGTGGCAAGGCGCCACCTGATTCAGCACGACATCCGAGATCTACTACGAAAACTCCAAGACTTAAGCAAAGGGTTGGTTGCATTGAATTACCGTATCGGCTTTGCAAGGCATAGCATTCTAATTATGCTAATTCTATCTTCACCTTTTTCCATGCTTCTTGAAAATGAATAAGAGGATAGAATCAAGTTGAGGGAAGTAGTAATCGAACACTCCAACCTTTTCTTTGCAAAATTTTAATTATGTAATTTTTTTTTCTCCAAAAAAAGAGGTAGCGGGTCTGGGTATTCTATTATCCAGCTTTTTTACACGTGCTTTTCTTCATACTGGTCTCAATTGAATAATTGTTCAGGTGTTCGC